TCCATGTGTCTCAGCATAGCTTCTTGGAGGTTCTGTTCCATGATCTTCCTGGGCATGGAGGTGAGGCTGACAGGTTGGTTGTCATTGGATCCACAGACTTCCCCTTTGGGCTGCCCTAAAAGTGATTTTACATTTCTGGAAGTGATAATATACCTAATGAACCAGAAACCATTCACTCAGTCCCACTACTGGACCACCCTGGATGAACAGACTGATATATGTACTGGTTTTGGTTGGGATAGAGTTAATTTTCTTGATAGCAGCTCATATGGTGCTATGTTTTGGATTTGTGACCAAAACAGTGTTGATAATATAGGGATGTTGTAGTTATTTCTGAACAGTGCTTGTACAGTACCAAGGCCTATTCTGCTTCTCACACTGCCCCACCAGTGAGTAGGCTGAGGTGGACAAGAATATGGGGGAAGGATGAGGGGAGGGGGATCAAGGATGTTCAGTGTTATGACATTTGTCTACCCAAATAACTGTTAATACATTATAGAACCCTGTTTTTCTGGAAATGGCTAAACATCTGCCTATCACTGGGAAGTAGTGAATGAATTCCTTATTTTGCTTTGCTTTCATGCACAGCTTTTGCTTTACCTATTAAACTGTCTTTATCTCAACCATAACAATCTGGAAAAATCCTCCTGCTATATTGCTGTTTACCGTAGTTGCTTTACTTGTACTATTGTTGGTTATTCTGAGCAAGCCCTTCTTTTGAATATACTGTGGATATTGTTCTTAATGACAATCATAGAATCATTTAGATTGGAAAAGACCTCAAAGATCATTGAGTCCAACCATTAACCCAGCACTGCCAACTCCACCACTAAACAATGTCCTAAGTGCCACATCTACACATCTTTTAAATACTTCCAGGGATAGTGACTCAACCACTTTCCTTGGTAGCCTGTTCCAATGCTTGACAACCCCTTTGGTGAATAATTTTTTCCTAATATCCAATCTAAACCTCCCCTGGTGCAACTTCAGGTCATTTTCTCTTGTTCTAGTGCTTGTTACAAGGAACGAGAGACTGATACCCACCTTGCTACAATCTCCTTCTAGGTAGTTTTAGAGAGTGATATGGTCTCCCCTTGAGCCTCCTTTTCTCCAGGATAAACAACCCCTCAGCCACTCCTCAAAAGACTTGTACTCTAGAGCCTTCACAAGCTTCATTGACCTTCTCTGGACATGCTCCAGCACCTGTTTTTTCATGAGGGGCCCGAAACTAAACACAGTACTCAAGGTGAAGCCTCACCAGTGCCGAGTACAGGGGGACAATTACTTCCCTAGTCCTGCTGGTCACACTATTTCTGATTGTGCTGGTTTTGGCTGGGGTAGAGTTAATTTTCTTCACAGTGGCTGGTATGGGGCTATGTTTTGGATTTGTGCTGAACACAGTGATGATAGTAGGGATGTTTTTGTTATTTCTGAGCAGTGTTTGAACAGAGCCAAGGCCTTTTCTGTTTTTTGTACTGCCACACTGGCAAGGAAGTTGGGGGTGCATGGAAGGCTGGGAGGAGACAGGTGAACCAAACTGACCAAATGGGTGTTCCATACTATATGGCATCATGCTCAGTATATAAAGTTGAGGAAGAAGGAGGAAGAGAGGAACATTTACAGTGAGGGCGTTTGTCTTCCCAAGTAACCATTACATGTGATGGGGCCCTGCTCTCCTGGAGATGGTTGAACACCTGCCTGCCTATGGGAAGCAGTGAATGATTTACTTGCTTTGCTTGTGTGTGCTGCTTTTGCTTTCCCTATTAAACTGTCTTTATCTCAACCCTTGAGTTTTCTAGCTTTTACCCTTCCAATTCTCTCCCTGATCCTACTGGTGGGGGAATGAGTGAGCAGTTGCATGGTGCTTGGCTGCTGGTTGGAGTTAAACCACAATGTTCATACAAGCCAAAATGCTATTGGCCTTCTTGGCCACCTGGTCACACTGCTGGCTCATATTCAGTCAACTGGTGACCAACACCGCAAGGTCCTTTTCTGCTGAGCAGTTTTCCAGCCACTCTTCCCCAAGAGGTCTACCAGAACCTTGTTGGTTGGTATCCCAACTTGTTAATTCTCTCAGGCACTGGTGAATGTCAGAAAGGGAACTGACTGTTGGATTTGTACATAGCATCCTGCATCTGTGAACCAAGGGTTTCCTGTGGTGGGAATGCTGGTATTGGTGGAATTGTGGGGCTGTACACCTAAAATTTTTGTCAGATATTACTCTATTCAGGTTAGTCTCTCAAACACTGACTACCCACTGCCGTCTTGGTAAAGCATGGATCAGAATTCTACGTCCTCCAAAACTTTATGGGCTATGATCTGTCCCATGATCAATGACAAACCATGTGGCAGGGCCCATCCTACACCATGCAAACCTACTGTGTCAATACTGACAATTGCCTGAAAGACACCACTTGCTGCTGGGACCTTATCACAATAGATGCCCCTGGTCTATACTGGTTGTGCAGCAGTTGAGCCATGAAAATCTTCCCATGGAGAGAGAGGAGGTCTATACACCCAGACTAATAGTGCCTGCAATGCATGTTGAAGTAAACCTCTCCATGACCCATGTCCACAATTATCCTGATGCCCTGCAATATTGATGTGGTTTTAACCCTTTGATAGAATGAGGATGCATATTTCACCAGTTTATCCAGACCCTCCTTCCTTGGTTGGGGTCTCTGAGCTGGAGAAAGTGATCATCAATCTCTCTGCTACTCTGAAAAATATAGAAAATGTAACAATTGATGCCATCCAAGCACTGCAGCAAGAAGTTGTTCAAGTACCATAGACTTCTCTTTAAAACCACTAGCCTTAGAGTACTTGATGGCTACACAAGGTGGCATTTGCATATTAGTATAAACTACCTGCTATGTTTGTGTCAACCAAGATTGATGCATTGAGACTGACCTTAAGAAAACCTAGGAACAACTAAAGCCCTTGCACCAGGTGGCAACTGAAGATATCAATTGGGGAATTGGTGAATTGTGGTCATGACTTACCTCTTGGTTCCCATATTTCAGGGCATCTGTCAAAATATTTTGACTGCACTTTTTGTAATTATCTACTTTATGTAATTATTTATGTTTTGTTGCATATCAGTGGATGGGGTTGTAGACTGTTGTAAAGCATTTTTGCAGTCATGGTCAAGCCACTCCCTGACCGGGGTTGGGGCTACTAGATATAAACAGATGCTGGTTGTAATCTCTTTCACAGCCTCTCTTATAGCAATTGGGAAGATGTAGTAATAATGACCTTCCAGATGCCTGCACAACTGATAGTTGGTGGAGGTGATTCTACAGTACCTATCTCATGATGCACCAGCTTTCAACTTCTGACTGTGCAACTTATACTCTGCAGGTGTTGGAACACCAACCTCATCTAGTCAATTATATAACTAACAACCTGTCAAAATAACAACCTCATCTATAACTCCGTGTCAAGTGATGATTTGAGAGAATCACGGAGTGGAAACGACACCTTGCCTTCTGACACCCTGTCCCTTGACCAATATTAGACAGACTGCCAATACTCTGCCCTGACTCTTCTCCACATTTAAGACATTTGCATAATTGGCTGTTTCTGCCAGATGACCCAGACACCAAATGTCCCTAGCAGTCCACCAGAGTCATGGCATCACTTATGATCCTGTGCTTGCTATCAGTGATTGGGTGAGTTGCTATATGGGGGAATTGGTAATTTTTCTTACTTCCTCAATAAAGCTTTGTTTTATAACGTGTTGTCAGACTCCATTACTGTTTGGACCAGAACATCAAAGATATATGCCTTACAAAACAAAAAAAACCCATTCTGATACCTGCCAAGTTAAAAGAATGCAAAAATAAATTACAAGATGTATTCACTATATAAGCAACTGAAATTTTCTTCTTTGTAACAGCTGTATTTTTAAGGAGATGTCTGATGATATAAAGACTGTAATGAGATTTCTTTCTTTTACGGGAAAAGTATAAATTTAAAAACTTTCAGAACTCCTAGTCTTTCTTAAAAAAATTAATATTGAAGAAAGTTGAGAATACAATCATGACTGCCCAGGGACATCTGTTTTACCTTGCTATGTCAACCCTTCTCTTAAACAATGAAATCAACATATATACACAGTCATGAAGAACATTAAAATGTTTTCTTTTTTTCATCTAACTTTTGTAAATGAATGCTAAAAACTTTCATAGAACAGTGTTGGGGAATAACTCATGTAAGTTTGATGAATAACAGGAATAGTCTTTATGAAAGAAAAAAGTCCAAATAATAAATTCCCCCCACTTTGTAAAACTGTATACAAAACACTGGGTGCTACTGCACTTTGCCTGATTAGTTCATACATCACCACCCATGAGTTTTTTACTTCTGTTATTCTTTAAAATAGCAACACAAGTAGGAAATATAAGCCAATATAAATCCTATACTTTAAGTCAATGAAATGAAGTTTACTACTTTAGGTCTGTTCTAGCAAAGAACCTATGAATTTTGTTTTAATTCCCACTGTATTTTTATGGCTTTGCTACACAACACTAACCATGCAAATAGCTACAATAAGAACATTTCTCTATAGTCACCTATTCCACTTTTAACACAAAATTGATGGGTTCTACTGACCCTCCATGGAAGAGATCAGTTTGTGTCATATTATTTGAGGATTAGCCTCTTAATCCCTGTAGAAATTCTCATTTCATTACATGCAGTTGAATACAACTGTTGGTAGACATTTTGAAAACAACAAGGACTGGACGAGTCAGCCTGCTCTGAAAATGTCTAAAATAGGACTAACGACTTTGTGTTTTGCTGTTTAGCATGAAGCATTCAATCTATCATTATATTTTACTGGTCAAAAAAATTTAATATTCAAATAAACATGTAAAAGCACACACACTGAAGCTCTCTACAAACTTGTGCTTTAATCAATTTGTAAATAATATTTAAAATTAATTTTAGTGACAGTATTGTTTGTTAAAAACTGGTGATTTATGCTGATGCTTGCTTACCTCATTGTCTGACTCCACAAGCACTTGATCATATTCACTAAGAGCTACTAGGAACATGATAGATGTAACATTTTCAAAGCAATGTATCCATTTTCTTCTTTCTGATCGTTGCCCTCCTACATCCACCATTCTGCAAAATTAACAATGATCACATCAACTCCACAAATACCTTTGCAGATAAAGATACAAACACATATGAAACACCGATTCTAAGAATTTAGTTGAAAACACAATTTGGTTTGTTTTTCTTAAAAAATTTTACCCTTCATATTGAAGACTAATGGAATGTGTTGTAAATAAACAGGTTATCATATTTGCTTTTTAGTTTGATGTGCATTATGAATTTAAATCTCAAAGTCCTCAGATTTCTGATATTCAAAACGCTTATGATTCTGAGTCATGATTCTAGAATGTATGCCTTGTATAGTCAGCAGAAACACATGTCCACAGAATGAAGTTGGTGGTCTGCCTTTCTCCCAAGAAATTACCAATCAAAATTCCAAACTTGCCATGGTTGCTTAATTTCAAGAGTATAAATAGAATACTAAATGTGGATAAAGCCTTCCCAAATCTTCGTTCGCGAAGCCCAGCCATGATGATGAAATAGAATACAATCTGTATTTACTGAAGCTGTTAATAGTCAAAGTAAAACCTCAAATTTGCTGGTAGACTGTACTCACGATTTATTATGGATCTCAATGTAACTAGACACTTGGGTGTCTAAATTGAAATTGTAACTGCATAGTTATTCTTTAAGCAATTGTATTTGACCTCAAAATGAGTTGTGGGGAAAATTATTTGTAGGAATGATATTAAATTTACAAAATGTCACTTCTCTCTAAAAATCAAGTACAGAAGTGGTACTTTTACGTTTCATAATTTATTATTCATAATAAATTAGATATACTAATTTTATTGAAAAATTACTTCCAGGTTTTCTACCAATAATAACTACCTTCATAAAAAGACAAATCTGTCTCTCATCCTCTTGACGTCTTTAACAACAGCTGCTAATCATATATGGACAAAAACATGAAAATAAAATGAACAAGTTCAAATTTTAAAAACATTGAATAATTTTTACTTTTAACCAATATCCTATACACAGTATTAGTAATATAAAAGGAAACAAAAGAAACAAAGCAAATGGGCATTAAACTTTTTTTCTACCTGAAAATGACACTTTGTAAGTCAAATGGATATTCAATGATCCCTGTTGTTGGGACTCGAACTCTAAGCACATCTTGCTGAGTTGGCAGATAGGCCGAATCTGCTATGCGGTCCAAGTCATTAAGGTAACTATAAATGGGGAGAAACAACAGGAATGCAAGACAATGATACCGTAATCCCGTTGAGGAAAAGGGAAAGGAAGTATTGGGAAAAGAAATGGAGTGTGGGATAGGAAGAAGTGCAACAGAAAAAAGTGCAATAATGACATAAAAGAGGGAAGGAAATATAAAGAAGTGCTCCATTCTCCCTTTCTGGTAACTTGCATAGCTTTAAATAAGTTCTACAAAAGGACAGTATGATTATTATAATTTTCATATAAATTTGCTTGGCTTTCACATGTTGAATCACCAACAATTCAAAATTTTCAGTTATTGAATTCTGATTAAAGACAAATAATATGATAAAATTGTACGAAATATAAGACTAATTTTATCTGATTCTATAACATATTTCTTGATAATTACTCTACAGTGTTTACAAATGATATATAAACATGAATCTCCCAAGTGATAGTGGACTATTAATTATCAGTTTCAAAACAGTAGGAGGATAAATGGCACTCTTTGTAGATAAAAGAAAAAAATACCACACTGACAAATCAAAAAACTCTCCACCTGAAATTCCTGCATCCAGACTGAAACTTCTGATCAAGTTAATAAGCCTTCACTACATGAAATAAATCCAGTCAATTACCAAATAATCTGAAACTGTAATAAAATTGCTTGTAAGGGCTTGTCAACTACAACACACAACTCTTCTGCTATTGCTTAATGGTGGTTTTCAAGTATAAAGCAGCACTGCACTGGAGGTTTTAATTAACTTTCGTAAGAGATGTGTCAAAAAAGAGAGATAATATACCAACGTGCCTGTTTGGGTCCAGGAGTTGCACATTCCATGAATTCAGTGCACCAGACATCTTGGGTTCTCCCCATGGTAGATGCCTGGGAAAACGACTGCTGCAGGAAATTAAGTTTTTGTGTATTTGATTATTTCCAAGTGCAAGAATGACCTAGTTGGTCACAGTTAGCTACTGTTAAGATAACATAAGGCTACCCTGATTCGTTCTGGGGAAGGGTAGCAATTTATCAAATCATTAAATATCACTAAACTCTGAATTATTTTCTTCATAGTTATTACTCAAAGTGTTCTTTTTTAAATAAATTCACACAAGGAATAATTAGATTACTTCTAGATACTCTGATTTGTTATGCAATAGTTAAAGTAAATTGTTATGAATAATGACAGAAACAGATTTGAGTTCTACTTTACAGCAAAAATATGAATAATTAATTTGTCAGTTCTGGGAGGGACCCAAAATATTATCAATTATTATGATTTTATTCATGAAAGATTAAGCTGATAGTAAATGCTGAATGTGGGAATATTGTAAATATTCAGAAAGATGTATTGAACCATATATCTCAGAAAAATTTTTATATTCAGAAGTTACTGCTCTGAAAATGTTTTCTCAGAACCCTGACTACTTTCTACCAATAGAAAAAATGGTTTGAAAATCTGAGCATTTCATCTGGTCTTAGTTGTTTTACACAAAAATCAAAATGGATAAGCTGAGCATCAATTTGCTGGAGGGGGAATCCATAAGAAATTCATCTGGCCATCCAACCAGTTTATTTGCACATCGAAGAGTCCAAGCAGCAAGCAGCCAGTTTTTATAGGAGGATGCTGTGGGAGATGGTGTTAAAGGTTTTACTGAAGTCTAGATAGACAACATCCACGGCCTTCCCCTCATCTACTAAGCGGGTCACCTGGTCATGGAAGATCAGGTTGGTCAAGCAGGACCCGCCTTTCATAAATCCATGTGTCCAGTTCTGGGTCCCTCAGTTCAGGAAGGATATTGAGGTGCTGGAGTAGGTCCAGAGAAGAGTAACGAGGTTGGTGAAGGGACTTGAGCACAAGTCCTATGAGGGGAGGCTGAGGGAGGTGGGATTGTTCAACCTGGAGAAGAGGAGGCTCAGGGGAGACCTCATCACTCTCTACAACTACCTGAAAGGAGGTTGTAGCCAGATGGGGGTTGGTCTCTTCTCCCAGGCAACTATCAGCAAGGCAAGAGGGTATGGTCTTTAGTTGTACCAGGGGAGGTTTAGGTTGGACATTAGGAAGAAATTCTTTACAGAGAGGGTAATCAGGCATTGGAATGGGTTGCCCAGGGAGGTGGTGGATTCTCCATCCCTGGAGGTTTTTAAGATAAGACTGGATGTGGCACTTAGTGCCATGGTCTAGTAACCACGGTGGTAGTGGACCAAGGGTTGGACTTGATGATCTCGGAGGTCCCTTCCAACCCAGTCGATTCTATGATTCTATGATTCTATGTTGGCTGGGTTTGATCCCCTGGTTGTCCTGCATGTGCCATGCAACAACACTCAGGATGATCTCTTCCATAACTTTGCCTGGAGCCAGCAACACTTGGTCACTATCACTTTTCCTTCTCACTAATTTAAAACTTAATAAATATATCACTGTAGTCATGAAAATAGACTAAAAGTTCTTTGTTACACAACCTTACTTTTCAATCTTTTATTATTTTTATATTCCTGCCATGGGCATATAGAAAATATTCAATGAAATGTTTAAAAATAAAAAGAACTTTTTCCACTATACTGGGTCTGACTGGGATGGAGTTAACTTTCTTCATAGCAGAAGGAAAAGACTTGGCCTAAAGCCTGAGATGCCCTTGCAGAACTGCTTCACTGCTCTGCAGACTGAAGACCTGTCACATCAGGAGAGACATGAGCTGAGCAAGACAGCCTGATCTGTTCCCCATGTGATAAACAAAGTCTCAAGTTTCTATAAGTTTCGAATAATAGTTTATTATATGGTAAAAGCAAGTAGCCAGTTGGGTGACAGAAATGGGACCAGTTTCCCAAATCTGCATACCCTTACTACAGGGTACATTTAGTATTTATCTTAGTTACTTCATGCATATTAATTATATCATATACATATACACTCTACAGGGTTTTGCTAAGTATTTAATATATGGGTTTTCTTACAACTAAAGTTAAAAGGGTTATCTCTACAACCAGTCATAATTCATGTATTCTTGGACGAACAGGCGCCTAAAGATTTAAAGTTCTACTATATTTCATTCTTAGGATAGTAAGGAGGTTTTAGGCCTCTTGACCTTGTGAGGGTCTGTTTTATTTCTTTATGGGGGTGTAATTAAGTTTTACAATCTGTTTGTTTTATTTTGATGTAATCACCCATTTGTTTCACGAATCACGATTATTTATATATCACACCCATATAACAACCAACCCAACTAAGAAAAGGCAATGGTTGATTGTGGTAGGAGACTCTTCTGAGAGGTAAGGAGGCACCCATTTGCTGACCTGATGTGCTCTCTAGAGAGGAGTGCTGCTAACTGGGGGCTTGTATCAGGGATGTCACTGAGAGACTACCTGGCCTCATAAAGTCCACTGACTATTACCTGCTGATGTTGTTTCATGTGGACACCAGTGATGCAGCCAGGAGCAGTCTGAGCAGTATCAAGGACTCCCGAGCCCTGGGAGCAGCAGTAAAGGACTCTAGTGCAGGTAGTTTTTCCATCAATCCTCCCAGTCAAAGGGAGGGGGTTAAAAGGGCAAGATGAATCTGGAGAATCAACAAATGGTTACAGTACTGGTGCCACAGCCGGGGGTACAGCTATTTAAACCATGAGACTTGCTTTGAGAAACCTGGTCTACTGCGGGCTGATGGGATCCATCTGTCAGAGAAGGGGAAGAGAATAGGTTTGCCAAGCTGATGAAGAAGGTCTTAAAAGTTGCTGGGGGAGGGGAACCTCAGTCCATCCCACTCTTACCAGTTTGATGCCAGGGCCAGCAAGAGATGCTCAGATCCTGTAGAGGGATTGCAGGTCAGCAGGAGAGCACCTGAAGGGCAGCACAAAGGAATTCTAGCCAGTAATTCAGCTTCATCAGGGACCCAACTTAAATGCCTCTAGACAAATGCAGGTAGCATTGGAAATAAACAGGAGGAGTTAAAGACATGTTCACATCTGCAGGATTATGATCTTATTGGCATCAGGGAGACATGGTGGGATGGTTCCCATAACTGGATTGTTGGAATGGAAGGATACAGGTTCTTTAGGAAGGACAGGCAGGGAAAATGAGGAGTGAGTGTCACCCTCTATGTCAGTGACCAGTTGGAGTGAATGGAGCTCCACCTGGGGATGGATGAGGAGCTGACTGAGAGCTTATCGGTGAGAATTAAAGGGAGGATGGGGACAGGTGACATTATAGTGGGGGTTTGCTACAGGCTACCTGACCAGGAAGACCAAGTGGATGAAGCCCTCTATAGATAGATGGGAGCAGCCTCACATTCACAAGTCCTGGTCCTCATGGGGGATTTCAACCATCCTGATATTTGTTGAAGGGACAACACAAAAGGGCATAGGCAATCCAGGAGGTTCCTGGAATACGTTGATGATAACTTCCTTCTCCAAAGGATAGAGGAGTCAACAAAGAGAAGTGCTATGCTGGACCTTGTTCTCCTAGAACCATAGAATATCCTGAGATTAAAGGGACCCACGGGGATCACTGAAGTCCAACTCCTGTCCCAGCGCAGGACGACTCCAAGAATCACACCATGTGCCTGAGAGTGTTGTCCAAACACTTGGTGCCATGACCACTTCCCTGGGGAGCCTGTTCCAGTGCTCAACCACCCTCTCTTTTTCTAATATCCAACCTAAATCTTCCCTGACACAACTTCAGGCCATTCCCTCAGGTCCTGTCACTGGTCACCAGAGAGAAGATATCAGTGCCTGCCCTTCCGCTTCCCCTCGTGAGGAAGCTGTAGACCACGATGAGGTCTCCCCTCAGTCTCTTCCAGGCTGAAAAAATCAAGTGACCTCAGCTGTTCCTCGTATGGCTTCCCCTCCAGACCCTTCACCATCTTCATGGCCCTCCTTCCTACATGTTCTGATAGCTTTATATCCTTCTTATATTGTGGCGCCCAAAACTATACACAGTGAGGTCACACCAGCACAGCGTAGAGCGGGACAATCACCTCCCTTGAGCCACTAGTGACACTGTGCTTGATGCACCCCAAGA